AAAATGATGATTATTTTATGTGTGTATTCTTGATTTTTTGTGGTGAGAGGAGAGAGAAAGGGACAGGAAGGAAGCAGTCAAGCAGGTTCAACAAGCCAGCTCAGCATAGGCCAGATAGCAAATTTGGGCCATGTTATGACATTAAGCAGATTTTGGCCCATGTTATGATATTAATCATTTTGTCCTTAGGGTTAAAAAGTCAAAAAAAAATAAAAAAAGGAATAAAACTACAATAAAATAAAGTTGATTCTATAGTGAGACAAACTTGATACTTGATTAAGTATGTAATTTTAAAATAAAGATTACATTTACAGTGGAATATTGAAATTTGCACATTTTTTTATTATATTTTATGGATCCTAATATACTTTATATGTGATTGTTTAAATTTAATATATTACTTTGAGTAATACTCACCTATCCACGGTGGACATATGTTAATACGTACATCGCTTATGTGGCATGCACACATTGGTGATGTTAATATGTTTAAAAAAATACATCACCAATATGAGCATGCCACATAAACGGCGGGCATATTAACATATGTTCACCGTGAATAAGAGAGCATTATCTATATTACTTAATATCATCTATGAAGTAAATATATCACTCAATACAATTGAATAATACTTGCATAGAGTTTACTAATAATAATATGTCACTTAATACAATTACTATTCTATCCAATTATATTTGTCTTATATAAGAATTTCATTAAATAATATGTACCTTTAAAGTAGTAGTATAATAATAATAATAACAATATTAATAGAATATTTCACGTATGGTAGACAGTAAATGGTTAGAGATGAAATATCAATTATACTCTAGGGTTGTGTATAAACGGCTGGAGATGGTTTCAGCCAAAATCGATTTTAACTTGTAGTCAAATATGCTTTTAAGGAGACAGTAACCAGTCAAAACTAGTTAAAATCGAATAAATTTAGATTTTGAGTTAAAGTTAGTTATTTTAAATAAAATTGATCGAGTAATATGAGAGAATTATAATTAAATGGTGATGGGAGTTAAAAGTAATAGATAAATAATGAAAGTGATAGGTAGTTAAAAATATGTGAGTGGATGAATAATTAATTAAAGTTGATCTATGTAGGAAATAAATAATTGATATTATTTATTTATATTGATAATATTGATGATAATGAGTTTGAGTTAGAATTTAAATTATGTTTGGTAACAAATAAGTCAGCTTATAACTTATAACTAATCAAATAAGCTTATAACTTATTTGATTAGTTTATAAGCTTCTTGTATTCAAATAAGCTTCATGACAATTTTTTTAAAAAGCTTGAGTTTTTCTCATAAGCTTCTTTGAGTAGTTTTTAAATAAACTCGTTAAATTTGTTATTTCATATATCTTCTCAACTAGTTTTACCAAATATGTTTATCATATAAGCAAACTTTTTAGCTATAAGTCATAAGTTATAAGTTATAAGCTCGAAAATCACTTATAAACTATAAGTTAGCTTATTAATCAGCTAGTTTTACCAAACACTCATAATAAATCTGTACATATGTACCCTTGTAATAAATCTGAGAGATAAAACTTAGGCTTCCTAAAATTTGCGAGTCTTTGAAAAATTACCACTTTCACAATATTTGAGTTAAAAAAAA